GACAAAAGTTGTGGGCCTTAATGCCTGCGGAGTCGCTAACACTAGAGCCAAGCCATTCAGTGTGATGAACATTAAAGTCACCGACAACAACAATTTTGGCTGATGGATAAAGAATGAGGGCTTGGTCAATATAATCAGAAATAACATCAAGAAGAGTGCACTCTTGAGATGAAGGAGAGCGATATAGAACAAAGAGAAAGGTGATAGAGTGAAGTGGTGCTAAATGAAAGCACATTAAAGAGTAGTCTGTGGATTCAAACCTAGTTTCGCGACAAATAGGTGAATTCTTAATGTAAATGCCTAGGCCAAGCATGTGACTATTGGAGTCTTTACGAATTATTGTTTTTCTGATAGATATGGAAGTAATGGTTTCAATTGGCAATTGCAGCAGTACAAAGTGAGGAAAACCATGGATAAGAGTGAGGCTTGACCTGGAATCATTGAGAAGTAATAAAGGGTTCCATGCCAGCCTGAACCCATGATGTTATGTAAGAAGCACATTTGTCAACAAGAAGATGACAGACATGGAAGAAGTATAGTTAAAATGGCAAAAGTATTATAAATGCAGTCAAAATAACTTATGTCTTCAATACCTTAAAAAATCTTAAACATTTTTAAGTAATTTTTAAAATTATTGTTAATTTATTTTTGTTGTGTTAGCTAAATGTTTGTAATAATTTCTTGAAAAAGTGTTATATCTTTAAAGTTATAGTTTTATATGTACTGTTATTTTTCCAGTTTGATTTTTGGTGACTGATTTTTGGTGGTGAAGTTGTAATTAAAAGTAAAAAAAACAAAAAATAAATAAAAAATTAAACAGGGTTGTTATGAAATATTGGGCCACAAAGTTGATTCATATAAATTATTTGTGTTATTAATTTTTGTTTCTTTTATCTCAGCATTTTAAATTCATTTATTGAATTCTGCATCTAATGAGCATTATAAATATCTGTTTTCATATTTTTTTACTCGTAATTTTTCATTTTATTATGGAAAACGTTTTTCCAAAATGTTATGAACACAGGTCAGTTTAAGAGAACAAGGTCAATAATAAAATTGCCATATCTTTTTTTTTTTAATTTAACATATAAGATTTGTTGTCTGTTTTAAGGCAATAAAAGTTGATGGCTTTTTGTTATGAATGAAATATGTAGTTGGTGATTGAGCAAATAAAATTATAAGTGAGCTTAAAAAGACAACCAACATGCCAGACTTTATTGAAAGCTTGTTCCTGGAAAACAGTTTTTTTGTAACAAAAGTGGGTAACAAAATTGGCAAAATTAATATAATAGTTAATATATGGAGTTTGATTGAAATTTAGACCATAATTCATAGGTATTTTTAAATTCTGAAAGATTGATTCTTTTAATGTGAATATTTTATAACTTATTTTTCTTTATAAGTTTGATTATATCATTAATAATATAATATGTTAAAAATCATGTTAAAAATGATATAATCATAAGTAATGATTATATCATTTTTAACATGAAACATATCTAATTTCCTTTAAACGTATTTGTACAATACAAGAGATGTTGGTAAAACCTCTGTTGTATTTTGTATTAATACCAGTAGAGCATTATAAAGTGTTTAAAATGCTGCTAAAATTAAAAAACAAAAACAATAATGAAAATGCAATTTGATATTGCAAATAAATTGATATACTAATGTCAATAAAAATCTTTTTATTAATGCTTGAAGAACACTTTGCCAGTGGACCTATTTGGATTCCTTTAAGTTTTCTTTTGACATGCTTATGAATGATAAAGTTATCAGTATTTTAATAACATTTGATTTTTAAAATATGCTAGCATACTTGATGGTTCTACAACAAAAATAGGGTGAAAAAAGTTATTTTAAATACTGCAAGAGTTATTAGCCTTAGTCTTACTCATTATTGCATTATCTTAGTGTTAGTTATTATTGGATTGATTTAAGTGAACACAACTTTGTGGTCTCAGTACACATATTAATTTATTTTTCAATAGCTGACAGCAAAATAGTTTTAACAAATTATTCAATATGGTTTTGTTTGTTATCTATTACAGCATGCTCATTTGTGTTGTTCACAACAGAAATCTGGTTAAATATTTTATCCCTTGCTAATTTCTATACTTGAGTTTAATTTCGGACAAGATGAAAGCAAGGTGGTGCCTAGTCATATGCATGTATTTTTGTTTTTGGTGAGTTTCTACACTTTTATTGCAGTAGACTTAGTTCTTAGGTTTTGGATATTTTAAATTTTGTTAATTCTAACACCCCTTTTTTTTGCCTATTCAGATTAACTGAAACAGTCAGTGGGATTAAATTTACTAGAGCAATTGGTGTATTTTTTATTAAGCACCTGGTAGGTGCACCTGGTAGGCTGTCTTGACATTTTAATATCTGTTTAACTAGACTATTTCTTGTATGTTTACAATTATCTGCAAGTAAGTAAATAAGCGTTCTATGAGTAGCCTATAGGTATTTTGTAATTTGCCTAAATTTAATTAGACTGTTAATAACACTATCTGTGCTATTATTTGATGCTTATGATAATTTGATTAAATAAAAAATTATTACTTTTGTATTATATAAAAACTCCGATAGCAAACTGTACTAGACTTTTTTTCTGTTGTATATCTGTGTATTAGATTTATTCATAACTCATTTCTGGTACCTAGTTCAGCTGTATAACAGATGTTTATTTTTTTTTCTATCGATTTTGTTACAGTGCTTTCTCAACCTTTTAATTACCTTAATGAATATTTTACCTTTTCTTATTTTAAATTTGCTTTATCTTCATTCAAAAACATAGTTTTGTTGCAAAGAGTTTAAGTTTGTACCAAATTTTAAATATAAATGAATATTTTTGAGTAATTTGTAAACAATAAATTTTAATGTTTTGCATATTAAAGTTCAAAAAAGCAAAAAAAAAGTTTTTGAAACCTTTTGAGCATTTATGGGAATGTTTTTTTTTTAAAAAAAAAAAAAGAGAAAGTCATCATTTTTTACAAAAGACTTTATTTTCTAGGAAATGTCTTATTTTTATTATTAAAATAAATAGTGTATGAAAAAAGATGTTTATTATTATTTGCTTTATTTATCATTTATAATCTTATTTCAATGGTATGGTTATGTTTTAAATTATTTGCTTTTGATTTCGTTTGACATCATTTTGTAATTTTGCTTTAAATTGCTTTTATTTAAAAAAAAAAAGAGAAAAGAAAAGCATATTAACTTTATAACTAAAATTATGTCAAAAGAGCTAACTTGTCTCTTTAAAACATTTTTGAAAATCTAAGCATTTTGAATAAATATTAATAAATCAACCGGGGCAAATTAATATTTTTATTACATAAAAAAAATATTTTTTGTTTAAAGTTTTTAACTTTAATACTTTTTATTTGAATAGAATCTGAATAGTTTTTCATAAAAAATTTGAAAATTTTTTTTAAACTGTAAACAGTTTGAAGAGAAGATAAATTAGATTATAACATGATAACTAATCTTGCTTTTTTCCAGGTAAGCGCATACCATATTCTTATTGCTGTCAAGAAATTTCATCTTAATTATATCAGTTTTTCTAATAAAGTGTATGCTGCATTTTAAAGTCCCTTTTTGCTGTTTTTCTAATAATTCATTGAAGTTGAATGTTTCAACAAGTTTTATATCAAAAATTTTAATTTTATTTTTAAGAATTTAAAACATTTCAGATTTCTTATGTAACTCCGATTGTCAAAAGTAAAAGTACCTGTTAATGTCTCCATTTGTTTGTAAATCACAAAAGATTTTTTGCTCTTATTAAAACTAAAATTATTTTTTTTTGAAAATAAAATAAATTTTGTATTAAAAATTACCAAAAAAATTTTTTTTTTTTGTAAATAAAATAAATTTTGTATTAAAAATAACCAAACATTAAAAATTAAATTTTTATTTCGAATTAAAAATTACTTTAATCATATTTTTGTTTTGCCGTTTTCTATTCAAAAAGTCCACATTTTAAATCATTCAGTTCACATATATTCTTTTAAATACTGATATATGATCTTAAAGTAATTGTGTTTAGAATTAATTTTTAATTCATATGTTCTTGATTCTTGATTATTTATATTAATTCTTAAGTCTTATCTAATCCTCACTGCAACCCATGGTAGCACCACGCTCAACTTGTTTCTTTATGCAGCGGCCTTGTTTGTCTAAGTTTGTGTTTCGGAGTTATAGAACTGAGAGAAGGTTATAACCACAATTAAGTAGCCTCCTCATCTATAGTGGGTTCTCAGCCTTAAGGAGGTGAATTGACATTAAAAAAATTATAAAAAAGTTGACACTAAATAATAATATACAAAGTTTATCCATTAAAAACCAATATTAATAATTTTTTTGTATTATTTAATATATCTCTATAAAAAATTGTTAAACTATGCTTAAAGTTTATATTTTTCATTTAAAATAATAATATTTGAACTTAGTGAACCCAATTTATAATGAGTTTTATTTCTGGTTGTATTTGAGTAAATTTTTAATCGATTTTTATATTAATATTTGTATGCAATAAATATCATAATGGCATCTTATCATTAAACCACTTACAAATTGTTGAAATACAAAATATTGTATATTCAAATAAAATAGTTATTTAAAGCATTAAATGAAAAATATATTTATTAATTATCTTTGGATTTAGAAGTGTTTTTGGTTTTATAATTTTTAGTTAAGTATGTTTTTAGGAAGCAATGCTACAGAGTACTACACAGTATTACACAGTGTTGCATAATAAAATGTCATCATAGCCAGATATTGATATACAGTGCAAAAAGAACATTTAAAATGACTAATATTCGTGAAACAATCAAAAATATATTTTTTTTAACAAGTTAGTTTTGGTCAGCCAGTATTGAAAAATCAAGAAACAATTATTTCCTTATTTGAAAATTGATTTCAATTTTTTATGAAAATAATTTATTTTTTCATGTGATCTGCTTATATATCATTATATTCATTTATTTTTATTCAAGGTTACTCATGTTCAGTTTGCAGATAGAGTAAAAGTTATTCCTACTCAAAATAATGGCTATCCAGAGTTAGTTCCAATTCAACGTGAAAAGGTTGGTATATAAAATGTTTACTATATAAAAATATATGTTATATACTAATATATGCTTATATATGTGTATATATATGTATATATATGTATATATATGTATATATATATATATATATATATATATATATATATATATATATATATATATATATATATATATATATATGTATATATATTTATATATGTATATATATATATATATATATATATGTATATATATATATATATATATATATATATATATATATATATATATATATATACGTATATATATATATGTATATATATATATATATATATATATATATATATATATATGTATATATATATACATATACATACATACATACTATGTATGTATGTATGTATATGTATATATATATATATATATATATATATTTATATATATATATATATATATACATATACATACATACATACATACATACATACATACATACATACATACATACATACATAATTGTATTGTTTCACCATTTGTAGGTTCATCAGAAAGAAGCTTCTTCCTGATGAACCTACTGATGGTGAAACAATTTGTAAAAGAAAAAAAATTAGATAAGTGTTTTTACTAATATATATATATATATATATATATATATATATATATATATATATATATATATATATATATATATATATATATATATATATATATATATATATATATATACATACATATATATATATATATATATATATATATATATATATATATATATATATATATATATATATATATATATATATATGTATGTATGTATGTATGTATGTATGTATGTATGTATGTATGTATGTATGTATGTATATATATATATATATATGTATATATATATATATATACACACACTTACTAAAGCGTGTTTTGATAAGCATTTGTTCAATTTTTTCTGCTTACATTAAGCTATACCGTTTTTTTCAAAAAAGAAGAAGAAAAAACAAAGAATAATGATTGAAACGATTGCTTCCCCATCCCAAACCCTTAGTCGATGTAGCAGCACTCCACTGCGAGTCAGGCTATTTGTGAGTCGATGTATGCACTGAAGCCCCCAGCAGCAGGCTCTTTCAGTTTGACGTCAGATTGCTTACCTTAGTACGCAATAATATTTGTATATATATATATATATATATATATATATATATATATATATATATATATATATATATATATATATATATATATATATATATAGAGGCCTTGGCGGGATATATATATATATATATATCCCGCCACTCCCCTAAAATGGTTTATGGGAGCATTTTACGGCTCTCGCAAAAGTATAATTTTTCTCACAATATATATATATATATATATATATATATATATATATATATATATATATATATATATATATATATATATATATATATATATACATATATATATATATATATATATATATATATATATATATATATATATATATATATATATATATATATATATATATATATATATATATATATATATATATATATATATATACAGGCCTTGGTGGGATATATATCCCGCCACTCCCCTAAAATGGTTTACCGGAGCATTTTACGGCTCTCGCAAAAGTATAATTTTTCTCACGAAAGTATAATTATCGTTATAATTAAAATAAAAAACACAATGTCATTTATAAAAAAACTAACTGTATAACATGCTGCAATGCTTTTTAAAAAACACGGTTGTTGCAAAAAAAAATTAAAGTTAAAAAGATTTCTACAAGGAGCAGCAAGTTTATTTTAGGTGAGCTTTTCTCTGCTCTTGTGTTATATATATATATATATATATATATATATATATATATATATATATATATATATATATATATATTTATTAGCCATCCCATTTGACCCTCATGAACAAATTTTAATACGCGGAGTGTCTTAAAATATTCTCAAGGTATTATTTTCTTAATGCAATTTTTTTATTTTTTATTTTAGATGACTACTTATATTCGCGCCACTCTTTTAAAATTTAACATTTTTACATTTTTTGAGTTTTTATGGGCATTTTCAAACAATCGGCTCGAATAGAAATTTACAAATCATTGACTATATAATAATGTCATTACAAGTAATGGAAGGGGTTTTATCTGTACCAATTGTGCGCATTTTTATTACTATTATTTTTGTTAACTCGTGGTATTTTAAACGCACAAACTTGTTATGAAATTAAAAAAACGTGGTTTTTAATCACTATAGCATTGAATCCTAATACACAGTAATTAGAAAATTGTTAGATGCTTTTGATCTCATACAGTTCACCCACTTCAAGCCCTGGCTACATAAAAAGCGTTTGTACAAGATTAGCTAAGTTTACTGGCCAACCATTATTCTTGTTAACCTCCTGCCATCATGTCAGAGATCTTCATATAGCCATGGCCGTAAATAAAACCGTTAAGCTGGAGAGTAAACTAATTATATCATAAAACCATAAAAGGTTAAAAAATAGTGAGGTAAAGATAAAACTGCTTCACTTTAAAATATTTTTTTGCAAAAACAAAATAAGTTTGTAATTTTAAAATTTTTTATGTTTGATTTTTGAAAAGTGCAGAGATTATTATAAATTAACGTAATTTGTAATGTAAATTAACGAATATTGACCTGTTTTAAACGCCTTGAATTTCATAAAATTCAAGTTTCATTTCTCTAAAATCAGGCAGGTTTTTATTCTGAGTAATAAAATACTCAATGAGATCAACAAAATGGCTGACTACATTTCTCTTTCCAGGGCATCGCAGTTTGTGAACTGCGACTTTTCTGATTCTGCAATTTTTAAAGCAAAATTTGATTTTATAAGTTTTGATATTTTAGTCATGTTTTTTAAGAATAATTTATGTCATAAAGTAACAAGTTGCTTAAAAACAATGGCTTGCAAAATGGTTTAAAATGAGATTTAAAATTCTAAGAAAATAACTCTAAACTAATTTTTTTGAAGCAAATTGCTTCAGAAACAAGAGAGCTGTGGCAGTGACAGATCCAGCATTTATTGGTGTTTCAGGTAGCTAACATAGAGCAAAATGCAAACATTTGTATTTTTATACTTATGTCAAATAATGTTTTTTAAAAAGTTGCAATAATTGGAGGCTGGGAACAAAAAAAGCCCTAAAATTTTATCTCCACTGCCCCAAATGTGAAAGCAACAAGTTGATGAAAAATTTTTTTTACTTTTCTTAAACTAAATTTATATTTATTGATAAATTTAAAATATTGTTTTACAATCTCTAAGCGTTCTAAAACTATGACTATATGAAATTTGTAGCCCCCTCAAATTGAGGAAGGTTTAAACTTAATATGGTTATAATTTATGAACTCTGAGAGATATTACTATCAAACTTAAAATTTATCAATGAATATAAACTAAGTTAAAAAATTCAAAAAATTTCTACCAACTTGTTGCTCTCACGTTTAGGCAGGGGGGATGAGATTTTAAGTTTTTTTATTTCCAGCCTCCAATCATCACAATATTTTACAACGCATCATTATTTGATATGAGCATAAACATAAAAATGCTTCCAGTTTGCACTCTGTCTGTTAGCTATCTCAATTACCAAAAAGTGCTGAATCCTTCACTGATCTGTGGTTAGATGCCTACTCTAGGCTTTTGTTCACCATGAAGGAAGCATAAACTTCCAAGTTAAATGCTTTTCTGCGGTGCTCTGTGATGCGACTATTCTTGAAGTCTTTGACTCTGTGATGTCTTCTTGGAGTACAAAAAAAAATGTTTATATATATTTTTGAATACGTCTAGTTTAGTTTACAACAAAAGATGTCCTTTACCCAATCTTTCAAGAAAATCATTTTGAATTTGGATTTGTTTGATCCAAATCAAAAATGATTTCAAAAAACATCATTTGATAAAAAAATAAGGCAAAAAACATTACGTTTGTTGTATGACTGGAAAAGCCTAAAGATCAACAAAAATCACTTTACAGTAGCCAAAGTGTTAATTTGTCTATCGTAATCAGTGTAAGATAGGCACAGTGTTTTTTTTGGTACAGGAACACATAAAGAAAACATTGTTGAACAAATTAACTGGATTTGACATCAGAATCTGTTTGCGCCAATACTTGGAAATTGCCCTAAATTTAGTCAAAAATCATAAAAAGCGTAACTTGGAACAATCAGCGTGAATACTTCCATCAAGAAAAAATAATAAATAAATAAATTTTATATGTAAAATAAAATGAAGTTGTAGAAAAAACTGCAAAATTACCCTCAGCACCCACAAATTTGAGATTTACTGTAGTTTGCAAAATTTCTTCAGCGTTGAGGCAAAAATTCATTAGAAAAAACCTTTCTATACTATTTATTTCTAGTTTTTTTGACTTTTTGATTAGGAGCAAAAAATATTCTTTATTTAGAAATAAAAAATATTCTTTATTTTCTATGGGGTTAATAAATTTTTAACAATAAATTGGATGTTTTTTTTTAATTTTTTTAATTTTTGTTGTTTAATGAACTGCAAGGAAAATTTTTAGATATAAATTAATATTGTCAGTATTTATTTAAATATATTTTTTAAAGAAGCTAATTTTTGTATATTTTATTTTCTTCAAATTGAATTTTACTAATTTGAAACTATTTTTTCTTTTTATAATACTTTTCTTAAATAAAAATGTAATAAATAATTTTTGGGTAGTAATTTATTATGCACCACTTGTACCAAAACACTTTTCCCTGTATGTGGAAGATATATCTGTGTCTTATTGATAAAATAAGCAAACATAAAAGTATAATTATTTAAGAACCAATCAGGACTAATTTAGAAGACTAAAATAGATTTTTTAGTTTTTTTATTTTATTTAATATTTTATTTTAATTATTATTTAGGATGAAAACAACAAAGATGTAGTATCTTTTATATTTCAAAGAATTTGCTACATATATGATTTTGAAGAA